ATAATACCTGTGAAAACTTGCTATGAGGTGATTAAAAACGACTTTTGCCACTAAGGGCGGGGGAGGGGAACAAGGCCCGGGGTTCAGTGCCTCAGACAAGATGCCTGTTTACCCTGAGGAAACGACATCCTTTGCTGAGCGGAAATATTTTCAGCAAAGATCCGACTCTTCTAAATGCGTTAACACGGGTTCAATATTGTGTTTCTATTTCTGTGTGAGATGCCAGCACGGAAAGAATTTTCATATTTGTGGGTAATCTGTGGTCGGGTATAAAGCAATGGAATTGAGGCAGGGCATTTGAAGGTGAAAGTTTTGTGGCTATATATATTTTTTTAATATTTTTTTATTTATTTCTAGGAGAGAGAGAGACAGTGTGAGCAGGGGAGGGTCAGAGAGAGAGGGAGTCACAGACTGAAACAGGCTCCAGGCTCTGAGCTGGCGGTCAGCACAGAGCCCGACTCGGCACTCGAACCCACGAACCGTGAAATCATGACCTGAGCAAAAGTCGGACGCTTAACCGACTAAGCCACCCAGGCGCCCCAGTTTTGTGGCTATTTTTAAATTAAATTTAATGTATTTAAAAAATTTTTTTATATCTAAAATTTTTGAAATGTTTTATGTATTTTTGAGAGACAGAGCATGAGTGGGGGAGGGGCAGAGGGAGAGGGAGACACAGAATCAGAAGCAGGCTCCAGGCTCTGAGCTGGCAGTCAGAACAGAGCCCGAAGCAGGGGCTCGAACCCATGAACCAGAGATCATGACCTGAGCCTAAGTTGGACACTTAACCGACTGAGCCACCCAGGTGCCCCGTCTCTTGACAGCTTTATTGCTTCCCCTCTCCCAGACGTGACCCAACCCGGGTAGCTCTCATGGCTGCAAGCTCCTGGCCCAGCCGCGCCCAGAAAGCCCGGTCGCAGGTGGAGGTGGCAGCGCTGGCTTCTGTGTCCAGGAGGGGTCACGCTGGCTGTCCTGGGAGTGTGACTCCCGGGGATTTCAGAGCGGCAGGAAACGGGCTGAGAGCTTCGATCAGATCTAACAGCGGGGGTCAGACATTCACTGTCACACTCACACACACAGACACACACACGGACCAGGCGTCTTCACAGACACTGTGCATATGGCAATGGACAGACAGACACACACACGTGCGTGCGCGCACACACACACACCTTCACATACAGGAACCAGATATTCAGAGCTGGACTCCACTTGTGCCTCCTGAATCACTTATCTTTAAAATAGTCTACAGTCGGGGTGCCTGGGTGGCCCAGTCGGTTAAGCGTCTGACTTTGGCTGAGGTCATGATCTCACAGCTCACGAGTCTGAGCCCCGCGTCGGACTTTGCGCTGACAGCTCAGAGCCTGGAGCCTGCTTTGGATTCCGTGTCTCCCTCTCTCTGCCCTTTCCCCACTCACGCTTTGTCTCTCAAAAATAAAGATGTTAAGAGAATTTTTTTTTAAAGGAAGAGTCATGGAGGCTAGTGTGAGTCAATCTAAAAAGTAGGAATTCTAGAAGGAATAATACATGTAGGAAAGGCAACATTTGGAGGGATAGGTTACATGGATATTCTATGTATTTTATTATCTATATTTAAAATATCAAGTATCTCATCAAATGTGAAACCTTACATGTATTTCTAAGATATATATTGTTTATAAAAATAAATCCCATTGACCTTGTTTCTCTGGAGAACCCTGACTGCTCCACCACCATCTTCATGTCTCAGATCCACTGTGCTGGGGCCCCAATTCCCCACACTCCTCAGGGGTCAGCCATACTTGCCTCCAGATGTCCAGAGCCTGTGTGTGTTCCCCAAAGGCAGGGGCCAGGCCTGTCTGCTTCTCCGTGGCCCCCCCAGGGCTGAGCCCAGTGCCTGGCACATTGCAAACCTCAGTGACAAATATTTGACCAATGTGTTCATGCACTAACGAGTGAATTTATTTTGAGAGCTTCTCCTAATGCGGTTTCCTGCATCTGACACTCTCTCCCACTTTCTTTGCTTCTCACCCTTTCACAGCTCACCCCCCGCCCACAGCTACAGGTACCCTGTCCTGAAGGCGAAAGCAGAGACCTTATTTCCTCACTCATGGCTGTGCGCCTTGTCCCAATGCAGGGGTGGGGGCTGGCACATAGTCTATGCTCAATAAATATTTGTTGAATCAATGCAGAATAAATGCCGTTGCGGGATTACACTTTTGAAATATTAGCCCATACTTCCCTCCCCAGGATTTCTTTTCTTCTCTTGCTCTTTCCTTTTCAGACAGCAAGGCATTTCTGAGCCCAGGCCTCAGGAAAGGACGTGACAGCCGAAAGCAAGAAAAACACGTCCCTTGTGTAGATGTGCGGATTCAAAAGCTCAGGTCCTCAGAGGATCAGAAAGAACACACAGAAAGGGCAAAGACTTGGAGGAAATCGTGGGGTGTTCCTGCTTCCCAGGCTGGAGAAGAATGTCCTGAACTGTCAAAAAGGAAGAGAGTTGAAAAGGAAACAATCGATTGCCGTTGGTGGTGGGGCCGCGGCTAGCTCAGAGGGCACCCTTGTGTGAATTAGGAAAAGGCACCCCTTCTGGGCGCCCAGCTTGGCAGCTGGAGGGTGGACTGGATCCAGCCCTTAATTGGCGCCCTCCCACCAGGTGCTTATGTGGAGTGCGCAACCTGTATAACCATACAGGGCAGCCCTGCACCCCCCTGCCAAGCCCTGGAGGAGGCCGGGAAAGCTCAGACAGGCCTGTAGGGTCTGAACACAGAGAAATTCATGCCTCGTGTCTCAGGTGAAGCCCTCACGAGTCAGGGGTGTCCCTGAGGAGGAGTGGTCCGGGCAGAAGGAGACATGTGCAGCCTTAGCGTTTCCTCAAGCGCCTGATGAGGATAATAACTGAAGACCACGTGGGGTACAGCATCCCTGAGGACAACTGGGGACAGATGACAGCAACAGATTGCCACCTTCCCTCCCCAACACGCCACAACTTGGCCCCTGTAAGCCCCTTAGAGTGAGTCAAAACCCCAGGGCTGTTTGGAACGCGGGAGCACATTCAAGGAGCCCGAGATTAAGTATGGGCCACGCAGGCGCAGTGGGGATCCCAAACAAAAATTCAGTTGAGCTCGAGAAAAGAAGGAGTTGCATTTTGTGCACATGAAAGGTATCCAGTGAGATTCTTTCTACCGGCTGTGCTCCACAAATATTTGTTGAACGAGTGCTGAGTGAATGACAAATGGCTCCTTCTCCACCACCCTAATTTTATTCGGCCCTGATTTAATTATCAGAGCACACGCTGCCCTGACTAGATTGTCAATTGCTTGAGGGCAGGGACCAGCCTACTCAACTTCCAATCCTGCGTCTGCATCTATATAGAAGTGCTCATTGCCTGGGCGTTCAATTGAACTACTATATAAATGCACAACGCTTTCCCCAGGCTCGTGATCAAAAACCTTCCCTTCCCCTGCGCTCCCCTCCCCTCTTCCACCCTCAGCAGAATTCCCAAAGCAGGGAGCAGACAAGGGGTCCTCGGTGCAGCAGGATAGCCTCATGAATGAGCCTGTTAGGTAGGATTTGAGACACGTCTACACCAGCAGATGAGCTCTGTTCAGCGGCCATGAATTCTGGTGTGGACTGAGGTCAGGTTCACCCCGGGCGGGGGGGGGGGGACTCAAGGGCAAGGGTGACTAGGTCACTTGTCCTGCGTGTTCCTGGAGATTTATGGGGCCTCCCAGAGTCGGTACCCTGAGTCTTAGGCGCCGTTTGAGGCCCTCAGGGCCTGGGCATCCGGATGGACTCAGGCCACCTTTTCCATGGCCCCTGTCCAGGGCCTCTGTCCAGCCTGCTTCCTGGCTGCCCCCGTCACATGCCAGTGTTTTATCCTGGGTCCCCACAGCCGTACCACACATTCTGTCCGTGTGCTCGGCATTTGTAGATATGATCATGGCTCCTGGCCCATGTTTCTAAGTTACCCCCCAGGCGTCTGTCCTTTCTCTGTGGCCAGAAGGTCAGTGCTGGCCACTGGCTGCCACCTCTGTCTCCCCGCTGCCTTCCCAGCTTCGAACACAGCTTTGCCGCTTAACGAGCTGGTGTCCCTGGCATGTTATTTAAACTGCTGTATCCACAGTGACCACCTCCCCCAGTCTGTGCCCTGTCCCCTGGGCACCTTGCCACTCTTTGCCTCTCGCCACAAAGGTCTGCTGACCCCTCTCCTGACCAGACAGGGCTCTTCCCGCCGTCCCCTGTGCCCAGCACTGTCCCTGCCACTGAGGAGCGACCTAGGGAAGGCAGGGGTCCGTTCCTCTCTCCTTCCTCCTCCCTGCTCTCCTCCTCTCCCCCAGCCTCCTGCCCACAGGGCCGTCCCCACACACGATCCCAGCCATTTCTTCCTTGGGGCCCTTTCACTTGCTCCAGGAAAGGAAGATCACCAGACAGAGACTGTCATGTCGCAGGGCCTTTTATTAAAATCAGGTGAGTCACTCCATTAGCTGAGAAGGCGCACTTAAGTTCCAGACCCCCCCCCCCCCCCCCCCCCCCCCCCCGCCGCCAACCCCGTCACCTCCTTTGGGATGGGTGTGGCTGTCCCACTCTGCCCAGACCTCTTTCTCACGGTAGAGGGACACCTGGGGGGGGGGGGGATGGGTCAGAGAATCTTCGTGTTGATGGCTTGGATTTGGGATTAAAGGTGCTGGGAAAGGTGTGGTTGAGTTTGGAGGTTGGAGGAATTGGGTTGGAGTTGAGGAGAGAGGAGTGAGAACTAGGTGGGGCCCAAAGGCTGCTGGTCGCAGTGAGCAAAGGGCCTCACTTCTCCTGGTTCCCAGGTGATGACCCCCCACAAGGAGCCCTGTCCCCAGGCAGAGACCCCTGGGACAGCCTACCCCCGCAACCCCCCCCCCCCACCTCCCCACCCGCCTCTCAGAAACAAAGCAGACACTCAGAAGCAAACTCTAGGGGCTACAGGAGACCCAGTCCCGCCCTCCCCTGGGCCCTGCGCCTGGCGCGTGGGGGTGGGGTGGCCCCGGGGCTTAGCCCTGGAACCCCAGCTCCTTGTACTTGGCCGCGATGTCATTCCGGAACAGCTCCAGAGCCTTCCTCATGGCTGCCTGGGCATCAGCGCCGAAGTCCCCGGGGTGTTTGCTCTGGAGAACCTGGATGATGACTTCTGAGATGAACTGCAGGGGGCACGGAGGAGAGGGGTGCTGGTCATGGGGCGGACAGACCCGGAGCCAGGGAGGGGGGGCGCGGAATCCGGCAGAGTCCCACCTTCTCTTTACTTCGGGCCATTTATGGAGTGCTTACTGTATACACCAGGCCTGCTTTGGAGTGGTCTCTGCAGATTCATTCCTTTTATCCCTGCAGCCCTGGGAGACAGGTGTACATGGGGCACCAGGCCCAGTACAGACCCAAGGTCGTGTGGCCCGGGGGGGCTCACCCATCACCCTCCTGTGCTGGTGTTCAGGATGCAGTCCAGCCGCAGCCATACAATGGCCCAGGGCACCGCCTCCATGCAGACAGTAGAAAGGAGGGGAAATGTTCCCATTCCCAAAATCTGCTAGATTTTGCAGTCAGAAAATCTAGATAGAAAGAAACTAGGGTGCCTAGGGGCGGCTCAGGTCACGATCTTGCGGTCCGTGAGTTCGAGCCCCACTTCAGACTCTGTGCTGACGGCTCAGAGCCTGGATCCTGCTTCGGATTCTATGTCTCCCTCTCTCTCTGCCCCTTCCCCGCTTGTTCTCTGTCTCTCAAAAATGAATACGTGTTAAAAAAAACTTTAAGAAAGAAACTGTTTCCATCTATGTATATTTCATTTTTGCACTTAATGGCTTAGTCTGCTTATTGCTTTAAGTAGCTTATTTGGGGTGGGGTGGGGGTGCAGAGCATCCTATTTTCTGGGCCAAGCACAGGACCCACGTCTCCTATCAGTCTCTCCATCACCATCCCGTTTGCTCGGGTGCCCACGATGTCATTACCAGGAGCATGCACAACATGGCAGCTTTAGCGATGGGAAGATCTCATGGGTGTAAAATGCTACTGTGCTCTTTTGACAGTTAACCAAGATCTGATGCCAACCACAGCCCTGGCCGGTGGACCAAGTGGTGTCACTTAACCGATGGACCAAGTGGTGTCACTTTACCGAGGCCTGGACAGGAAAGTAGCCAGACTGAGGTCATATAGCAAGAGGTCTTTGCACCCAGGGAGGTTGTGGGCAAACGGCCGCCAGAGCCAGGGATGGAGGTGGTGACTCTGCCTTTCCCATTTTCTCAGGGCGCCCAGAGTGCAAGTGACCCCAGGCAGAGGGTGGGGGGCTCACGCTGACAAAGGCCAACCCCCCAGTAAACACAGTTTGACTCAGAAATGGGGACAGTCCCACAAACACCTGCCTTTGGGCATCCACTGGGACATATGTGTTAGTTCACCTTTAATGTCAGAAATGCAACAAAACAAAGTGGGGGCTCGGGCTGCCGTGGAGTAAGCTCTGCCCCTGGACAATGTGGGACCCCAACTTCCTGGCTCAGCTCTGCCATGAGCCTCTCTGGTGACTTCACCACAAAATGGGGGCTCCAATGCCCCTCATCCGGTCCCCTCGCTCAGCCTTTCCTGAGCCTGTGTCAGAGCCACTAGTATCTAGGAAAGTGTGCAAACTGAGAAACGTTGCCCTTCACTACCCGGCACCCCCTGTGGCCCCCTCGCTCACAGGTGGGAAGCAGCAGCCTATTATGAAGAGCATGGAAGGGGAGGAACAGACATGGGCTCTGCCTTAGATTTTGCAGAGATCGATGCAGTAAATCAAATTTGTTTTAAGTGGACCTGGTTTCTAGCCCACTAGCTGCCAGTCGACCTTCTCTCTCTCAGCCTGTTTCCTTGTCCCCCAGGAGGGGATGTGTCATTCCAGTTGTACTGTGAGCCCACCCTGTGCCACTGGGGTTCAGAAATGGGAGAGCCAGAGTCTGCCCTTGGAGAGCTCATGTCCCAGCCAGGAGACAGCTGGGTAAAGAGATGAATTACAGTACAGCCGGGCAGGCGCCGTGACGGGGTTAAGGATAAAGCGCCTTTGCACTGGGGGTGAGGGGGGTGCCTGTGGATGGAGCAGCTGACGGCCTCGTGCAGAGGTGATGGCTTCTAAGCTGGGCCCTGCTGGAAAGACAGGGATTTGCTGCCAAGAGAAGACAGGGAGGGCAGGGGCCGCAACAGGCACGGAATCGCAAAGGCAGGACAGGCCCCTGTGTCTGGGTTGCTGACTGAGACACTGTGGGGGCAGCTGGGGTGCAGGGAGGTGAGTCTGAGAGGCTGAAGAGGGGTGTGGTGGTGGCTGATGGGAGATATTGTATCATAAGGGTTAAGAGCTTGAGTTCCAGAGTGCTGTTCATCAGACTGTACTTACCGGCTTATTAGCTGTGTGAACTTGGGCAAGCTACCTAACCTCTCTGAGCCTTCGGTTTCCAAATCTGTAAAGTGAGTATGAGAAGGGTACCTGCCTGGCACAGAGTCTGCTAGTTGTCTGCCTAATGGCCATTGTCTCCTTCTTCCTTGGTGACACTAGTTGTGTTTGGAGAGGCCACAGACCACGTCTCCCAGCTTTCCACGCAGATGAGTGTGGTCTTGTAGCCAATTTCTGGCCAGTGAGATGTGTTGGATGGCATTTCTGTGACTCCTTAAAAGAGAGCTTTCCTCTCTTCTTCCAGCTTCCTGTCTGGAACATGGACCAGATGGCTGGAGCCCTAGCAGCCATCTTGGACCATGAGTCAACTTTGAGGACGCGTGCCAACATCGGCAGCGTCGCTGACTGTGGGGCCCCCACACCAGCTCTGGACGCCCCAGCTCTGAACTCCCTTTGCATCAGAAAAAAGGAAGACACTGAACGCATTCAATCTCAGGGAGATGGCGAGAGTTCTGTGCCGCCATCTGGGATGGTGCCCATCCCAGCTGGTAGCCATCCCCGCTGTCTTCATCCTCATCGCCGCATCAGCCGGCCTGCCACTCCCGTCCCGAGGAACTGCACCTACCTCGGAGGCCCTTTGTCCCCCGGATCTCAGTGCTCCCTCTCACCACACCCCTCCTCCCACGGGCTCTAAAGGCAGGACATGCATGTCAGGCTCGCCCCTGCCCACCCCACTCCTCAGCCCATTACCGGGGGCTCAAACCACCTTCTCTTGCCTAGGACCCCCGAGGCTCTCTCCCTCTTCATCTGGAAAGATGCTGGAACAGCAGCACCAGCCTACTGGCCACCCGCAGCCCAGGATGCAGGCCTCGCTCCTGTACTCCAGCCCCACGACACCCGTATGCGTCATGAGGTTAGGGGTTAGGGGTTAGGCGCTGGGGGCCTGGGGGAATAGAGCCCTAGGTTGAATCCTGTGAGTGTGCCATGGACAAGCCAGCTATTGCCCTCTCTGTGCCTCAGTTTTCTCATCTGTCCAGTGGATGTGATAATGGTACCTCCCCGTGGTGGGTGGGGGAATGCGAGTGGTGTCCCCAGTATCCACCCTCCCTTTCTTTCCCGCATGACCTGCTGAGCTGGGGGAGAAGCGGGTTTACTCTCAGTGACCTCAGGAGGAAGGCGAAGTGGGTGACAGCTCGTTTTACAGATGGGGAAATTGGGGCTCAGCGAGGAAGGCCGTGGGTCACCCACAAGTTGGTGGCTGAGCTGGGACATGAACCCCAAATTTCATGTGCCCGAGGCCTCCCCTTGCACCTTCCCACCCGCCTCTGCCCTGCTTCCCACCTCCAGGTACTTGACCGGGATCTTGTGCTTGGTGGCGTGTGACTGGGCCAGGGGCTTCAGCTCCGCCTCGTGATGGCCCTTCTTCTTGAGGATGCCCCCCAGGGCGGTGAGCACCGTGTTGCCGTGCTTCTTCAGGTCCTCGGACCCCTTCATCTCATCCTCCGTCTTCAGGTGCTTGAACTTGTCGAACTTCTCCAAGGTCTCCGGGTGGCCCTTGAAGAGCCTGCGGGCACACGGAGGGCTGGAGTCAGACCCAGGAATGCGCGCCGGGGCTGGAGGTGGCGAGACACGCGAGTTCCCATCCAGGCCCCCTACTTCCCAGCTGTGTGACTTTGGGCAGTTCGCTCTACCTCTCTGTGCTTTTGCTCCCTCGGCCAAGCACAGGGGGTAACTGGGGCCTGCCTATAGCAGCGCCGTGGGGATTCGGTGGGCTGTGGGAAGGCGTGGCCTGGGTATTTTTCTCACCAGTGGCCTCTGCCTCTTCCTCATCGCTGCTATGAGCGGCAGGAAAGAAATATGGGGCCACTTTGCCCCCCTGTGACTCCACCAAATTTTCTCTTAAGTTGTTTGGAGCGCAGGTGATTTGATCACTTCATGGGTGGAGGAGGGGCAGGGGGCATTGGGGCTGGAAGACCCTGGATTTGTTGAGTCCCTACTGCACGCTGGGCCCCGTGCCAGGCTCTGTGTGTCCCTTTGGGGTCAGACTATTCCCATTTTATAGAAGAGGGTGTAAAAGAGGTGTGGAGTCGTAGCTCAACGTGACCACTATGCAGAAGGGCCAACTGGAAACAGGTCTGAGTGACTCGAGATGTAGACCATGCAGGGGATGGTCACTGCACCTTCCTGCCTAGGGAGCATCCTTTGGCTGCTTAAATACTTCCAGCTACGGGAGGCTCACTACTACCTGTGAGGGCCATTCCGCCCCAGATTAGCTCTCAGGCTCAGGAAGCTCTTGCTTAGTTTGCTCGGACGCCCCGTACCTCCCAGGCCCCTCGCGGTGCAGATGGTGAGGTCCCCAGGGAGAGAGTCACCTGGTCTCTCAGACCAGGTCTCTGCTCCCACCAGGGAGCCAGGGAGCTCGCTGCAGATGGACGCTGCCCGTGAACTGGGGCAGCCCCCTATAGCCATGGAGCTCAGTCTTTCCTGTTCTGGAAAGTTGGGTGTTCATTAAAGGGAGTCACACATGCCGCCTAGGTGGGGGGTGGCTCTCCCCATTTTACTTGTGGGCGGACGGAGCACAGAGGCTTTGCCCAGGGTCGGTGGCAAAGCCCAAACCGAGATCCGATGCTTCTCTAAGTCATTCTCTCTCTCTCCCTCTCGTCATACTCTGAAATGTCTGCAGGAGTGTCCCTCTCTCCCCAGGCTGCCCCTCCTCCTGTCTAATGGCTTCAGGTCCCTGCAAGTTTCCTCTTTTGTAGCTTCCTGGCCCGGCCACACCCTTCAGCCCTTTGAAAGCATCTCTGTGCATGCACACCCAGACACACACGTGTGCACCAAGTAGCACCAACAAGGAGCACCCCCCTCTCCCGGGAGCAAATCCCTCCTGTACCCCCCAGAACGCCCGGGGCTGTCTGCAGCAGCCGTGCCCCACGTCCCCATCTCACCCTGGCCCCAGCACCCCTGCCAAGCCTGCGTGTCACTGAGCATCTGGTGACAATGATCCTTGAACTCCTGCCTGGCAGATGTGGGACCTAGCGCCCACAGGGCAAGGTCGGAGGTCGGGACACTGGAGGGAGCCTAGCTGGGGCAGAGGAGGGCCAAGGACCTGGTGCCCAAGGCAACCAGGGACCTCAGATTTTTGGAGGAGGCCCCAAGATGCCTGGGAGAAAGAGCATGGGAAAGAGAATTATGGAAGCCAAGTTCTGGCCCCAGGTCTACCTCCCATGTGCTGTGTGATATTGAAAAAGTCACTCAACTTCTCTGGGTCTTGGATCAGCCATCTATAAACCAAAAGAGTTGGTCTAGCTGATGTTTCGGCCTCTGATGATAAAGCTTGATCCCCGCCTCACCTTCTACTCTGCACCAGTCAGCCAGCGAGTGAGCCCAGATCTGCCTTCAGCAGTGCAGGAAAACCGGGCTAATGAGTGCCCACCAGATCATTCCAGCACCACTCGGCCGCCTCCCTCCCTCGGCCCAAAGTCCTGCATCTGGGAGCCCCCAGGCAGCCGCAGAAGGCCAGACCTGGATTTGCCAAAGGGCAGCACCCTGGAAGATGGACAGACGAAGCCCGTCACCCCGCGGAAAAGGATGGACGGACTTTCACCACTGTTTCAGAAAGCCCTCACTTGCCTTGCGTTTTCATCTTCAATCCTACGTCCCCCTGCCTCGCTTACCACGGGCCTGCAGGCAAGTCAGTGAGAAAGGAGGCCATCTCCCAGCTGTCCTCTGAACCGAGGCCCGACCAGACACCCACACGGGAGATGGAGCACTCAGACCTGCACAACACCGTCTCTGCTCTGGACCGAAGACCCGGGCTGGGGAGGGGAACCCCTCTCTGGTGTGCCAGGGGTGCGGGGCAACGGCATGGTGCTCCCGAGCAGCCGTGCTGGGTCCAAGCTGCCTGGATGTGAGTTCCAGCTGTGTGACTTCGGGCAAATTGCTTAACCTCTCTGTTAAGGGTGGTGATCCTAATATCTACCTCATAAGTGCTGGTGAGGCTGAGTTAATATACGTGAAGCGCCGAGCACAGGGGCTGGGGGTGTGCACTGTGTAAATGTTGGCTGCCCTGCCCGTCCTCCTCGTTGTTACCACTATTATCAGGGTCACAGCCACCGCTGTCACCCTCATCATCATCACCATCATCATCCTCTGTAAAGGGAGAGGTTTGGGCTACCAGCGGTGATTTTCAAACATTTCGTGGCCTCAAAATTCTTTGTTCAAATGCAAAAATAAATAAAGCAGAAAGGGTTCGGGCTGGAGGAGGAAAGCCCGGGGCGCGCTCAGCAGCCCCTTCCTCCTCGACCCCCGTCCTGAAGCCAGACTCTTCAACTGGCCTTCTGGCTTTTATGCTCCAGACCTTTCCGATCGCATACTTGCAGCGGTGTTCTATTAACAGCTCTGCTGAACAGAATACGCAGTCTTTTACAAGAGGAGAAAGAGGAATGACCTTGCCAAGGTCAGTAAGAGAGCCGAGGCTCAGCGTCTGGAACAGAACCAAGGGCCAGCTCCCACGGAGGCAGGTGCAGCTCCGGGAGGTCGCCTCCCCTCCCTTCCCTCCACACGCAGGGGGCCCTCCTCCCAGACCTCACACTGTAAGAGGGCAGAACCCACTGGCATGCTCTCTGCGTGTCCTACAGCCTAAGACATGACGGGGCATTGGCCTTTCTGGGACCTTTCAGGGGCCTGGAGTCCGGGGCATCGCGTCTTGTCCCTGGCCCGGTCTCCCTGATCCATTCTGGAAAGGGAGGGAAGGTTTCCCCTGATGAATCAATACTGCGAGTCTCCTTCAAGTCGCTGCCTTGGGGGCTAGCGGCCCCCAGGTCACCTTGGGGAAACTTCTGCTTTGCAAACTGGTCTCTAACCCCAACTACCCTGCCTCCTCTCCAAAAGCAAGGGAGGAGCATGACCCAGAGAATGAGAGCAGAGAGGGATCGCAGAGACCCTGGCAGACAATCGCTTCATTCAACCAACAGGCAAGCAGGACTCAGAGATGGGGAGTGACTTATCCAGGGTCACACGGTAAAGGTAGCTCAGGAGTTGATGTCAACTTGGGGGCAGCTTTTGTCCCATTAAACAGGAGCCGTTGCAGCCCCAGCCAGCAGGCAGGGGACAGGAGGAGAAAGACATAGGGAACAGCCCCAGGATGCCAGTCAGAGTAAACAGAGAACGTGACTGTCCTTCCCAGAGTGTTTCTAAGGGCTCAGACTTCGGATCACCGAGCTTACAGGACTGACCATTCTCTCCAGACGTGGGAGCTGGATAGGAGTGAGGCCCAAGGAGACCAAAAAGGCACCTGAGCAGAAGAGGAAAACCTGGGTCGTGACGAAGGAGAAACTCATCTGCAAATTAAAGCGTGAAGGACAATCCATGCACTCGTGATCTCTCCAGGGCCGCCTCCTCCTGGGTGCAGAAGTGTTGACTTATACCCCGTTAGATATTTGACTTGTGCTGGCCCAGAATGTGAAAGAAGGGACCGGGAGAAGAGGGGTCTAACACCATCTGGGGTGGAGAGCAATGACAAAATAGCATTCTATCTACAAGCCACACGCCATCCTTTATTTACAACGCATGGAATTTTGTTTTCTTTTGTTTACTCAGGAACCCCCTGTAATAGCCGTCGAGATGTGCTTGGAGGTCACACCATTCAGAGCTCTCAGATTCAAGACTCCCTCAACATCAAGTCACTGACGGGTCTCCGTCTTCTATTTTCAAATTATAATACTTGGAAGGTCCTTAACCTGGTTCCATCCATAACAATGACTAACATCTTAAAGAACCTGCTATGTTTCAGGAACAGCGCCAGGCCCCTCACATGCACTATCTTATTTAATTCTCACATCCACTCTAAAACGTGACCAGGAGGTCACACAGTGGCTTGGGGGCAGAGCCGGCTCTGGAGCTGTGGGTCTTCCTCTTGAAGACCATGTCTTAGTTGTGACAGTTTACAGATCTTTATGGGCTTTTGGTCCTCATCCATTAACTTGAAGCATCTGACAAGATCTCTCAGGGCCCTTGTTAACTCTAACTGCCTACTATTTGCGGATTCCTTTTGGTGGGTGCCAGGCATCCAGGGTTTGATCACCAGGCTTCTCCCACCGCTGGCACAGGCTTGGGATAGAGCTCTTTTTCTTTCTGGACTCCTGTCCCTGACACTTACAAGCAAAGGAAAACCAAGCGAAGGTGTTAATAAAGTCAAGTGACACAGCCAACTGGTCGACCCTGGGCAAACATTCCACCTTGCGGGCACACACCCTTGATCTTTGGGGAGTGGGTGACAGGCAATGGGATCTCTTCCTTTTACCTGATGAGGACCTCCTGCCCGTGGCCGGCGAGGTCGGTCTCCACCTTCCCCCAGACGTTCAGCACCAACTGCCACTCCCCGTCACTGAGCCCCATGGTGCGGTCTGAAGAAGACAGAAAGAGGGAGTCCGGGCTGACTCGGTGTCCTAGCTCTGACAGCTGGGGTTTGAGATCGCCTGGCCCCAAAGGGATTTTATACCTTCCCCGAAGCTCAACACAGATCACTTGACGGCTCGCTCACTCTCTCCTCCTCCCCCTCCTCCCTCCTTTTCACGAGGGGGTCTAATCTTTTCCTTTCTGTAGCTCTCACATGGAAGCTATTTTGGGGCAGGTGCCATTGTGGGGAGGTAGGACAGCTCAGGCCACAGGGGCGTGGGGGTGTTTGAGTATGTGGCAAGAGCGGGGGGCGGGGGGAGGCTGGGCCACTGTCTGGAGTCTCAGAGGCCAGCAGAAAGGGCACCACCAAGGCCGACGCCAGCAGCCTGAAACTCAACTCTCCCTGTTGTCAACCATCCCAAGAGGGACTGTCATGTTTCCAAGCTCGGGCAGCAGCTCCCGGGCTGGCCCTGGGGCTGTCCTGGCCCTCAGCAGTCTTCTTGTCCTCAGTCTGCCCACATTGCCAGAGAGCCCCTGCCCACCCAGCAGCTGGGGGTGGGAGAGAGGAGGGAGCTGAGGGTTCCCGCTTATAGCTGGGCATCTATCCGTACGCTCTTGGAGTCTGGATTTTTCTACCCCGCCCAGAAAACTCCTGCTTCGTGGCTTTCGCGGCCTTGCTCAAATATTTCCTTCTGAGGACTTTTGCTTGGCATACCCCCTCGAGGCACCATTGATTTCTTCCTCCTTTCATTAATTTCTGGGTGCCCCTGTTGTACGGCTTCCTTCATTGTGCTGTCTTAGTTTCCATGCTGGTTCTGCCGTGAGTGCGTTACAGCAGCCGGTACGCACAGGGACGTGCCGGGCCCTCCTCCGGGCACTTTACATTTGGTAACTTGTTTAATCCCCCCGACAGCCATATCTCTAGGACAGACATGGCCTTGTCCTCGTTTATTCAGGGGGAAGTTAGGGAAAACTGTCACGGTCACATAGTTGATGGCAGAGCTGGGATTTGAATCCAGAAAGTCGGGTTCTTGAGTCCATGCTCCTGAATACCTTACTCACTTATGTTGACTTACATATCCCTTGGACCTCACACAGTGCCCCGTAGCAAATCATAGCTGAATAAATGTTGGTTGAATGGCCTTGCGAAAAAGCCAAAGGAGATGATTGGCCTTCTTTATATTTATCCATCTTCCTTCCATCCATCCATCCATCCATCCATCCATCCATCCAACCATCCATCTCTCCATCATCTGCTTATCTGCCCATCCACCCCCCCATCCAGCATCTGTCCATCCATCCATAATCCGTCCATCCATCCATCCCACACATAGTTACAGAGTACTTCCTGTGTGGTAGTACTACCACACGCTCAGGACAGGAAAACTAAATAAACACATTCCTGTATTCAAGAAACTCACAGTCCCTTGGGGAGATATAAGGAACACACTTACAGTACAGCTGGGTTAGCGCCATGACCAAGGTACCAGGCCCTTCCTTCCATCTATACAGGACTTTACAGTTTACAAAGCGCTTCCTTGGCCAGGATTACAGCTGATTTTCACAGTGGCTTCTGCAAGGTAACGAGCACCACCCCGTTTACAGCTGTGGACGGCGAGGTTCAGAAAGAATCAGCAAGTATCCTGGCTGTCTTGGGTCTGTATTAGACGCGTCAGTCGTGACCACTCCATATAGACAGCTCTTTCTCAAAGCGACTTCCCTGCCCCAGCCCCCACATGACCACGTAAGCCTTGTGCTTCCCCCCACCCCACCGCCAGTCACAGCCGACATCACCAGGACTGGTACCCAACCTGGCAAGGCTCTACCCAACAGCCTCTGCCTCTTAGCTCCATGAATCAGATCCCCTCTTCGAAATATGAACAGGGACGTTTGGCAAGAACTGTCCAGGTGGTAGGAAATGCGGCATTGAAGAGACCAAGAGTTTCATGGCCAGCACGGAGTAGGAACCCCAAGGTGAGGCGTCCTCAGTGTCACCTGGGGCCCAATCCGATCTCTGTCAAGCCCGGCCCAATTCCTGCTGGAGGGTCACGCACGCAAGCTGCCACTCCCTGTGGACCCCTCGCGGATCCTGTCAACGAACCCTGTTTACTTCTCTGTCGAATCAGCTGCTTCCTCTCCCTGACGCGGGGCAGAGCCACACCAGAATCCAGAGCTGGTTGACCCCCGGGACCCCATCCACCTTTCACGGTGGAAGATGTGGTCGCAAAATGACTAGCTAAAAATGCCAGTGGAATTGGGGGGAGAGCTATCATTCATTCATTCATTCACTCATTCATTCATTCATTCATTCATTCATTCACTCATTCATTCATTCATTCATTCACTCATTCTCCTATTTGCTCAACAGCCTAGTGCAAGGGCTTACTCTGTGCCAGACCCAGGAACCAGAGGAAAGGCAATTCTGAGAGGATCCCCCAAAGGCTCAGACCCCCGGCAGCGTAAGCCCCTACTTCTGGTCACTCGCTGGAGACTGAGGCCAAGCGTGGTGGCAGGGCAGGGCGGGGCGGCTGGGTACCCCGCCTGGCTGTAAGGGTTCCGCACCCGCCGCCTGGGGCTGGTGGCCAGCAGAGCAGGCCCCAAAGCTGAGCCCCAGCCCCACCATCTCCAGCCTCTGGACTTATCTGAGGACAGCCTGAGCATTTAAAAGCTCATCAAATCATTACTGATGCTAAAGTGTTTAATACTTAGCTGTCACCCCTTGGCAGGCACCCCCATTAACTGGCGTGTTCATGGAAACCTGTGGCTTTGAAGTCGATGGACCTTTTAAGTTTTACCATTTAAGCTAATAGGAAGGGGCCGACATCTGTGTGTACTTATACATCTCTACAACAGAGCAGGCATTACCTAACGGTTGCTATGGCTACCTGGAGTCACCAGCTTTGTTTGGGGGCTATAATTATCCCTGTGACAGCCTTCAAATGGCCGGGGCAAGGAGGCTGAAGATGCACGAGACAGGAAAACCAGGCACAAGCCTTATACTTGCGTGTCACACTCGGACACGCGCATCCACACGCACGCGCACACACAGCAGTGGGTTAGCTCGACTCCCAGGGGAGCAACACTGGGTCCTTCCACACTGGACCTGCCCCCTTCCTCTTTTCCATTTTCTCCTGTCACGGAATCCTTTAAATGCAAAACTCCGAGACACGTAGGATCATTCTCAAGTCTTCAAATCCTAGAGTCCTGAGATTCTCCCAGTGAAAACTCTGGGGCGCCAAAGTCTTCATGTTTGGCCACTCTGGGAATTTGGGCTTGAGAACTCCAAGGTCATCGAAAGGCAGAGGCAGGGGCGCCTGGGAGGCTCAGTGGGTTAAGGGTCAGACTTTGGCTCAGGTCATGATCTCACGATTCATGGGTTCGAGCCCCGTGTCGGGCTCTCTCCTGACAGCTCGGAGCCTGGAGCCTGCTTCAGATTCTGCGTCTCCCTCTCTCTCTGCCCCTCCCCTGTTTGCACTCTGTCTCTGTCTCTCTCAAAAATAAATAAAGATTAAAAAAAAAAAAAGGCAGAGATAGAGAAGCGCAGAAACCTATAGGGCCATCGTGTCTTGAGGCTAACAGAGAGCTTGGAGCATCTTGTCCAAGTTCCCACTAAATGCAGGGAATTTTCCCAACAGATCATCCTCTAGCATCTGCTTGCATACTCCTAGGCGCAGCGAGCTCACTACCTAAAACTTGCAAGTTTCTTCTTTATTTTTTTATTTTTTTTTTAATTTTTTTTAAAATGTTTTATTTATTTCTAGGAGAGAGACAGCATGAGTAGGGGAGGGTCAGAGAGAGAGGGAGTCACAGACTCTGAAACAGGCTCCAGGCTCTGAGCTGGCAGTCAGCACAGAGCCTGACGCGGGGCTCGAACCCACGAACCGTGAGATCATGACCGAAGTGAAAGTCGGACGCTTAACCAACTAAGCCACCCAGGCGCCCCAGCAAGTTTCTTCTTTATAATGAACCAAAATATGCCTTCTTGTCACGCTCACTCCCTTGTGCACCCTCTGCCGACTGGGGATAGAGAGGACCAGCAGAGTCTCTCTCAGGAGGGAAGCTGCATGCTCACCAAAGGCTTTTCTTGTCCATGCTAAACCCCCGTGGACTTGACCCGAGCACCCTCCCCCCCCACAAGGTAACCCGGGTTCCTGTCTGGTGTAAAAAGACTGGTTCTGTGATCTTCAAGTCGGCAACTCCTGCCTCTCCTTGAGCGTGTACACAAAGAACTCTCTAGCAAGGGGCTTCCAGAATCCTGCCACCCATCCCCCCCGCCTCCACACACACACACACACACACACACACACACACACACACACACACGCTGGAGTCCCCAGGTGGCTGTGCAAGGAGCTGTCCTCTTCCAGGACCTGGGAGCTCGCTAGCCCCTTGGGCCGCTAACAGCTCCCCGCAGTGAGTCTGGGGGATCACACTTTCAGACTTCATCGAGGGGGTGACTTTGGCCCTTTAGAGCCAAGGATCCCTTCGACCTTGACCACCTCCCTTTCTCCTCCTAGGAGCCTCCCCTTTGGAGGCCAGCCTGGGCAGGGCCTCCCTCCCTCCCAGCTTAGCTTGCTCCTTCCTGGCAGAGCCTGCGTCCTGGCCCAGCGCCAGGCCGGACTCCGGGCAGACTGGACGGGGCTGGCGGGACCCCCAAGCTCGCCCCAGACCCCGCTCCGCCCAGCCTCCTGGCAGCCGTAGTACTGACCACGTCTCCCCTTCTCCCCAGCTGTCCTCCAGGAGCCTCCAGCCAAGCGGCGGGCTGGGGGTGGGGAGAGGTGTCTTATAGCAGCCGCGACAGGCACAGGGAACTAAAAATACAGTCTACACGGCAAGGCTCCTCCTCTCCCCGGAGGCCCAGAGGGGCTTTATTGGAAGAGGGCTGGCAGGGACACACGGATCCCAATATCCCAATAACAGGTGTGGCCTGAGGACACCAGCCGGCCTCCCCCACCGCTCCCCTACTCAGCCCCACCTTCCACCTGTCGCCGGGGGCCTAG